ACACGATATATCATTTCTAAAGTTTTAGAATATATAATGTCCATGAATTTTAACATAGATGATCCTACAAAAAAACTGGTTGGTGGACTCCCTATATCCAACTTTATTTATTATTCTAATAGCTCTTTTTTGCAATTTAAATATTGAATCCAAATATGTTTTGTATGTGTTCCCCCAAATTTATGCACAGTAGGTCATATAAGGCAAACAAAGGGAAGTATACAATAAATAAAGGCAGTTCTTATTCAAAAAATCTCGTTTTATAAAGAATAGAAATAGACTTGGATAATTTTTGTTTCACATGTTCTATGTGGGGCTTCCAACAAAGTTTATCATCAATAATTACTCCTAAAAATTTTGTCTCATATACTCTTTCAATTTCAACATTATTTAAATTCAATTTTACTTTAATATTACTTTTACTACCTCCAAATAACATAAATTTTGTTTTACTTTCATTCAATGATAGTTTATTAAATACAAACCATCTATTTAACTTTATGAGTTCTGTTTCCACTGTTTTCAGTAATTTCTTTATGTCTTTTCCTGAGCAAAATAAGTTTGTATCATCAGCAAACATCACATATTTTAAAGATTCCCAAGAAGCCGTTAGCTGGAATCTTAGCATATGTCAGTATGCTGCTGGATAAAAGAAAGAATTAGGCATAAAAACTGTGTACAGTAGATGAACAGGATCTAAACATGGTATGTCCTTAGAAAAAGACCTGACACAGGACCTGTGAGGAACATCTGGCCCTTCAATTTATCCAGCTGCTGAAGCCTCATCAGAAATGGCCTCCATGAAAGGGTGGCTGTCAAGAGGAGGGAAACAGTCCAGCCAAACATTGACTTTCAGGCTTGTTAGAACTGTACAGAGTCTGTTTTGGGCTTATATTCTGTATTTCCATGTGTAGATTTCAATAAACTGATGCATCTTTTGCCCATTATGGTATTACTTAAAAATCTATGTAGATATATGAATTTATATAATTTGTTGAGAAGATAAATCTCACACAGGTGAATATTAGCATACAGTTAGATTAATAAAATGTTCCTACTAGCTTCAGTAAGGCTCTACATGAAGCATAACTTCTTGTTTATTTTGTACCAAACTGAAATGTAAAAAATTACCATTCGGTTTAATGGGGGATTAAATCTGAAGTAGGGGCTAGATAGAAACCACTTTGGTTCCACACATAAAATTCCAGTTAATTTTATTTGCATATGCAGGATTCTGTGGCTCATAGTTGCAGCTTTTACAACAAAAAGTGTCCTGGTTAAATCGTTAGCACAAAAGAGTAAGAACTGTGCTAAATAAGCAACAGGTTTTTGGAGAAAAGCTCCAGAGTACACACTTATGACCATAAAATCTATATCGCAATTTTAGTTTTAGAATTCCTGAGGCGTGATTAACCACAAAACATCCAGTCAGTGAGCTCAGGAGTCACTTTCATGCTTCTTAAGAGGAAAAACCTTCGGTGTTAATAAAACTAAGAGCGCTGCTTGCTTAAATGAATCCTTTCCTCCAGCCCTCTATCAGAAACAAAAATGAATAAAACTGGTCGAAGGAACATATCGATATGTTTGTATTATAATTATGAAGCTAGTGTGAGCAGTATTTTTTTTTTTAATACACAAAACTAACAGATTGCTTTTCAAGTTGACATCATATTGTCATTCATTCAGATTGTGTTTCTGGCCTTCAGCTAGCACAGCTGCCTGCCCTTAGGTGCTCGGCAGGTTGTGTACACTTTGCCTTCTATGATTTTTGGGGGTTTTTTTGTTGCTGAGAACAGCTGTCTGCTGCATCTGGAAACAAGCCTGATTCGAGCAGCAAGAGTGAACGAAACCTGTACAATAAGACAAAAATCTGAAAAACTGTGAAAAAGCTCAAGAAACAAAAAGTCAGCTTAAGGGATGTTTGTGTAATAATTCTCTTTGGGACATTACATGTACACATTTGTTCCATTGTTAACATACAAACAGTTATTATAGTAGCTTAGAATAAACATTTTAAAGCATGAATATGAATAAGTGCAGCATTACCTGAAACAGCGCTGTTCTTTTTTTTCCCCTGCCCACTGAGGCGTGAAAGCGTTTGTTGTGTACTTGAAAGGCGCCTCTCTTTTTCTTTGAATACACTTTTTAAATATCAGTTCAAAATGTGAATCATGAGAGCTCTTTGAAAGACAAGTCGCCTCTTGATGTTGCTCCACACTGTGAGAGGACATCAATGAACAATGACTTTTTCTCTCAAATGAAGCAAAAGTGATCTGCTGTCAGCGGGGGAATCGGCTTCAAACGAGTTACCAGCAAGGATTGGCAGTCGCGAAGAGGCGAGGTGGCGAGGGTGGTGCGAGGGAATTGAGCTTTAATTGTGTAAAGTTAGCCGGTTACCTTCGAGCCAGTGTGCGCAGACATGATGCATCAGCGTTCACACACTCTCCAACTCGATTAAGATCTTAAGGAACGGGGGCTTGTCTTTTTAAATTTTTTTAAATTCTTTTTTTTAGGGTTCAGTCTTTAGATTGATTTGGCGCGTGGGCATTTGGTAGAGATCTAAATGGATTTTGACGGCACCACCTGCAGTGGTACTCTCTCTAGTCCATCAGTCACAGGGAGATTTCTAAAAAAGGTCACTTCCCTCACTGAGACACGCAGACGGGAGGATGAGGGGAGGGCGGGAGAGGGGGTGGTGGTGAAGTGATGGGGCTAGAGCAGGAAGTGAAGCGGCATCAGACTGAAGCTAATGCTACAACCTCCCATCTACCATATGCTGTTACCCAGATCATAAAGATTTGTGGCTGGAGCTTCACATTTAATGCTATTGTCCTGTCCTGGATGCACCCTTTCCTGTCACTAGGTGGCACCCTTTTATTTTTGTACTCCATTGTTCAGGCTCAGTTGCATGAAGTTTTTAGTAATGGGGTTGTATAGTAATGCATAGACTTGCTATTTTAGTACATCCAGTCTATAATTGTATATCATTATAGGAGAAAGCAGCTCTTTTCATTTCAAAGTGATTATGTTTCATCGACCTCCACTGGATTTTTGTTGTGGAAGCACACCCAAGAACACCTCGGTCTGCTTGACAGCCAGGGATAACACTGATGATCTCTTCCATGACAAGCATCACCACGTTCACCTCAGCAGCCTAAACGCAGCGTGCGTGTGTGCCTCATCTTGAATAATGTAGCTCTGCAGGCTGGGAAACCAGTGGTACGAAACTGCGGCGGCTAAACAAAGGATTTGGAGTCAGGTGGTAACACGTCACAGAGAAGACGGCAAGTTAATGATTGGTTGCGCGGCGTGCTCAAACGCTCAAGTGGGCGCACACAATATGGCAGCAGGCGCAATTTCAAAATGTGTTGCTGACACCAAGCAAGGGGCTCATTAAACTGTCATCCTATTTGGTAATAAGGGGCTGGCACACACTTGCTGGAAACTGATAGCCCACCAACAGCACATTACCATTTCTTTAGCTGGAGGGGATTAGAAATTACTGTCTAAGTCAAAGCCAAGATGGCCATCCTTTTAGGTTTCCGAGGCATTTCTAGCACGCGCGCTTGTGGTATTAGTGTCATCCCGTACAAAGAAAACAGCATGCCCATTGTCATCGCGTGAGCTCCGAGGCAATGAATAGTCCTGCTGATGCCATGTAAAGATAGAAATTCATCAACAAGCTGAAGCCACACAGCTTCAGCTTGTTGAGTGCTTGCGGTGTGGGGGCTTTTTGGCCTGGGAGCC